GGCTCCACGCAAGATCTCACCCCGTTGGTCAAAATGATCGCAAGAACGGTGAGCAAAAATCCCAGACCACACGGGGGGACCTAGTGAATGACCTGCAGAGAGCTGGGACCAACGTAACAAAGGCTACCATCAGTAACACACTATGCTGCTAGGGACTCAGATCCTGCAGTGCCCGTCTGAAGTTTGCTAGAGAGCATTTGGATGATCCAGAAGAGGATTGGGAGAATGCCATATGGTCAGATGAAACCAAAGTAGAACTGTTTGGTAGAAACACAACTCGTCGTGTTTGGAGGAGAGAGAATGCTGAGTTGCATCCAAAGAACACCATACCTACTATGAAGCATGGGGGTGGCAACATCATGCTTTGGGACTGTTTCTCTGCAAAGGGACCAGGACGACTGATCCATGTACAGGACACAATGAATGGGGCCATGTATCATGAGATTCTGAGTGCAAACCTCCTTCCATCAGCAAGAGCATTGAAGATGAAACTGGCTGCGTCTTTCAGCATGACAATGATCCCAAACACACTGCCTGAGCAACGAAGGAGTGGCTTCATAGGAAGCATTTCAAGGTCCTGGAGTGGCCTAGCCAGTCTCCAGATCTCAACCCCATAGAAAACCTTTGGAGGGAGTTGAAAGTCCGTGTTGCCAGCGACAGCCCCAAAACATCACTGCTCTAGAGGAGATCTGCATGGAGGAATGGGCCAACATACCAGCAACAGTGTGTGCCAACCTTGTGAAGACTTACAGAAAACGTTTGACCTCTGTCATTGCTAACAAAGGATATATAACAAACTATTGAGATGAACTTTTGATATTGACCAAATACTTATTTTCCATCATAATTTGCAAATAAATTCTTTCCAAATCAGACAATGTGATTGTCTGGATTTGTTTTCTTATTTTGTCTCTCATAGTTGAGGTCTACCTATGATGTCAATTACAGGCCTCTCTCATCTTTTTAAGTGGGAGAACTTGCACAATTGGTGGCTGACTAAATACTTTTTTGCCCCACTGTATTTCTGAAGGAGTTTATTTCCCTTTCTGAATATTTAAAATGGTACACATACTACGTGGCAGAGTTCCCCGACATTTCTGGCTTTGCAGACCAAGGTGGAGAGAGAGGAGATGGTTCTGTGTGAGTATGTGCTCACTCAAATGCGGATGCACATATGGACTTGCCCACCACTTGTGCGACCCGGTTCCAAATGGCTTAAGGCCTGGTAGTGGGTCGTAGCCTGGAGGTCGGGGACCCCTGCTATATGTATGTATTCAGTAATAGATTCTGTTTGTTTTTATGCCTGTCTCTCAGGATTTCTACCTCTATACAAATAACAGCAAATACAGGTAGTCCTCGACTTACAGACATTTGTTTATGACCGTTCAAAGTCACTACAGCACTAAAAAAGTCACTAATGACTGTTTTTCACACTTACTACCGTTTCACACTTACTACTGTTGTAGCATCCCCATGGTCACATGATCAAAACTCAGATGCTTGGCAACTGGCATGTATTTATGACAGTTGTAATGTCCTAGGGTCATGTGATCACTTTTTCCAACCTTCTGACAAGCAAAGTCAAAGGGGAAGCCATTTTCACTTAATGACTGTTACTAGCTTAACAACTGCAGTGTAACAATTATAGCAAGAATGGTGGTAAAATGGAGCAAAACTCACTGTCTTGCTTAGCAACAAAAGTTTTGGGTTCAGTTGTGGGTGTAAGTCAAAGTAAAAAGAAATTTATTTGTATATAGAGAATGTAGTTTGTATAATTCTATATACAGATTGACAAAGACGTCTTTTTTGTCTTATTGAACTTGTTTCAATTTACTGGTTTCAATTTATTTTGAAGTCAGTATTACTAATATCAGAATTAATAGCGTGTTTCCCCGAAATTAAGACCTCTCCGGATAATAAGCCCAATTGAGCTTTTCAGCGCATGTGATAAAATAAGCCCACCCCCTGCAAAATAAGCCCCCCACCAACTAATTACATGCATGTGCACCCAGTCCTGCCATTTCCTCTTATTGCTTGCTGTGCAAACAACATTAGGTGAGGAGGCGAGGCCGGGGGGGAAAGGGGGGAACATGCCCCACACACCCCACACGCCCTTACTGTACCTACCGGTAATGCTGATGGCCACCGCAAAAAGAGCAGCAGGCCAGCAATGTGCCTTGCGCCCCGCTCCTGCCCCTTGCTTGGCCACCTGCCCCCTTTAGGGATGCAATTTGGGGGTGGCAGGTGGGGGGGGGTGAGAAACAGGATGCGTGTCATACCTTTCCAGCTCCATCGCATTCCTTGCCATTGTGTCCAGGGAAACACATTGTTTAAAAAACCCTTCTTGCGAGTTCAATCAAACTTCTCAAACTTGTGAGAAGATTTCTTTTACAACATGTTTCCCTAGACACAACGGCAAGGAACGTGACGGAGCTGGAAAGGTAAGACACACATCTTGCCGCTCAACACATCCCACCCCATCCCAATGGCAACAGCAGCCTGGCAGCTTCCCTTCCCTGCCATCTCTTTATTGAGTGGGGTGGGGGAGAAGCGAGACGCGTGGAGCGAGATGTGGCTCCCTTTGCCGTCTCTTTATCTCCCCCTACCCTCGCCGGGCATGGCAGGGCTCCTGCCCCTTGCTTAGCCACCTGCTCCCTTTAGGGATGCAATTTGAGGGTGGCAGGTGGAGAGGGCAAGAAGCGAGACATGCATCTTTGAGTGACTAGCTCAAAGTTACTCAGCTGGCTTTCACGGCTGGGATGGTTGAACTCATGGTCTCCCTCTTTCTAGCCTGGTGCCACAACTACCAGATCAAACTGGCTCTCTAACTTCTTCTCTGATTGCATTGGGCTGACATTATCTGATGTTAGCATCTTTTTCTCCCCCCACCCCACCCCACTTTTTAAAAAAATATTTGAACAGCAGGTTTTTGATTCCCTCCTTTCACTTCAGCAAGAGAGCCCTTAAGTCTTACTTCCAGATAACCATCATATATTTTTTTGTTTCTCCAAGCAATTTAAATTCTAATTTCTTATTTCTTTGGCTCAGGATTTCTCACGATATATATTGCTCATATATATATGATTAGTTAGGAGGCAAGAGACAATCTTACCACACTCCTTTCCCGTTTTTGATACATTTAATTACCCCATTTTCCATTCTAATTCTTGCTTTCTGGTTATCATACAATGAGATGAGGTGGTCTCATGCCCTGATGCCAATAGCTTTAGCTGTTTAAAAGCCTGGGCACTTTTTTATAGTGTCAAAATTATAGTTAAATAGGTACTGCTGTGCCTCTCTGAGGGGTGTCTAACACAAAGGAACGTGCCAGCACCAAAAAAACATTCTCACTTTTTGCCAGCTATTTTAGTTATCAGTCACATCAGCTAGACTGAACTTTAAGATATAATATGTTAGATTGAGATCTCGGTTCCCCTCTATTAAAAGCATAATGTATTTGTATATGACCTGTATGTATTTAGACACTGATCAAGAAACACTGCATTTAAACTGTAAAAGTCTTGGATGTGCATCTGTATATTTTTAAGATACTAATTTTCAAACTGCATTTTTATTTCATGCTAACAACTGTGAACAGGACACAGGTATGCTTCTTTTTCATAGCTTATTATGTGTCCAACAAAAAAAAATTGGCAATACCGAATACTGAATAATGAAAATTGCTCAAAATCTCTGATGTTTGCATATTGTGTTTATACTGATGACCTGTTTTGGGGGGTACCCTTTACCTGAAGCAAGAACTTCAGGTATTCATTTCTCAATAGCTAAAGTTAAAGCTTTCCTTCAGCTGATAAAGGGAATAGAATGTGTATATTCTACTTTTGTGTATTTTCAAATATTACACTATTGAGTAACTTCTGAGTTGTGTCTTGCTAAGCTGATCATGCTCTGTTCTAAACTGTTTTCCATTAAAGAAACCACTCTCATTTAGGTTTTGCAGGGGAGGAAGTGAAAACAAGGAGTAATGGGATATGAGTTATAAACAGTGGTGGGATTCACCAGTTGTAACAACAGGAAATGGGCCTGTTTCTGGACTTCCTGTACTTCGGGTAGGCCCGTTTTTCGCCCTCCCCAGGCTCCAGAGGCTTTATTTGAGCCTCCAGGAGGGCGAAAACGGCCTCCCCCGGGCACTGGAAGCCCCCTGGAGGCAGAAAAGGGGCCTGTTTCTGGACTTCAGGTAGGCCCGTTTTTCACCCTCCCAGAACCTCTGTGCGCGCCCTGCACTTACTTGGCATCCAAAGCAGGCCGCATAGAGACTCTGGGGAGGGGAGGGGTGGGCGAGATTAGCCAGTCTTTGGAACAACTGGTTCAGTGAACCAGATTAAAATTAACATCTGGTTCGCCCGAACCATTGCAAACCAGCTGAATCTCAACCCTGGTTATAAAACAATAAATATTGATCTTGGTTGCCGATTGGCATTAAATAATATTATTCTTATTCAGAATCTAAATTTCATTCTAAATATTTATAGCATAGTTATGCTATTCTATAGCCAGAAAGGCAGTTAGAGTAGCAAGAAAGTTTCATCTTTAGAATCTAAAATATTGCTGTCCCTTAGTATATTAGTATGGGGTTCATTATGTGGTAAACAGAATAGGGAGTTATTTTCTATTCGTTACAGCTGTAATTGTATATGTTCCCAATTTTGTACAGATAAGGTAAATTGGAGGCATTATATTATATTATGTATTGTATTGTATTGTATTGTATTGTATTGTATTGTATTGTATTGTATTGTATTGTATTGTGTATTATACTGGAGCAAAGCTTCATGAAAACAGAATGATAAAGCTCATTTGGATCTTATTTGAAGATCCATCCCTTTTACATATATTTGGTGGCATAATTTTTCAGTAAATCTTTTTCCCATGACATAAACAGATGAGTTGTTTGCTTTGCCCCAGTATATATATTAAAACATTCTTTTATTTCTACATTCTGCATGAATTATTCATTTTATGTTTTTGTTATCCTCTAGGCCGAAAATTGAGAGGGAAAGCCTTTTACTTTGTTAATGGGAAGGTGTTTTGTGAAGAAGACTTTCTAGTAAGTGTGCTGCAGTCTTTTCCATGATGTTGACCATGGTCAAAAAATTATTTTTGTCAGAGGTGAGAGGATCCTTTTTCAACATAAAATGATAGCACAAATGTTGCTTATGAACTAGGTTGTATGTCTTTCAGTAGTTACAGTAAAATTATGGGCTGGATATATTTCATTGGCAGCTCTGTTTGCTTTTGATTTATTTTAAAAGTAATGTAAAGAGTTAAAAAAAAACACTTCTCATTAACTTCCTCTGATCAAGTGGATCAAAAATGAAAAGATTAAATGAAGCAAACAGTAATGATGACTTATCTTTCATAAATGTGGTACTTTGACATTTATTGATAATTAATGTGTGCTTAGAGTTGCAGGTGCATAAAAATAGAATCTAGACTGTTGTTCATATGTTCCCATAAGAATACAAAATACTTAACAGAAACACCAAATGTGGCATGCATTTTCTTTGTCTCACTACTACTTCTATCATCAAATGGTCCTATGTGCTATGATGCAAACCATGTGATTTACATAGGAATGTCTGATATCAAGATGCAAATATGGAAAGGTGGGATTTGCATTGTGATATCTTCAAGGGTGTTTTATCATTTTTTTTATTACTGGATTTTGTACCGGATGCCTGTACATCTACTAAAATGTATATTTGCTGAGAATTCATGTTTCTAGTTAACAACTCAGGTGATTCACCATTATTTACCCCAAATGTTTGGAAAAGAGATCAGTAATGTTTACATCATGCTGAGATTTTAGCTGGAGATTTCATTTTCTTAGTTGCTATACTATATTAGCATTTAGGAAGCTTTTAAAAGCAAGTAATTGAGAATGGCTTTTAAGACTCAAGGTGCTGGAAAGACTATGAGTTGGTGTGATTTCCTGTTAAAAAGTAAAAAGGTCTTTATATTTAAACAATTCTGTTTTTTTTTTCCAACTGCAGTATTCAGGCTTTCAGCAGTCAGCTGACCGATGCTACATATGTGGTCATTTGATCATGGATATGGTAAGGGGCATTTTATTTATAGAGAAAACCAATGAGGGAAAAAGAACAGTGTAGAACCATGATGGTGAACCTATGGCACGCGTGCCGGAAGTGGCCCACAAAGCCATATCACCTGGCATGCACGGCATCACCCATTCCTCTTCCGAGTTTCCGGGGCACGCATGCGCACTGGTCAGCTAGTCTCCTGGTTACTGGTGTGCATGAGTGCATGATGATCAGCTGGCTTTCACATGTGCGGCCGCGGCCAGCTGAAGGCATACTCTTAGCGCGGGTGCGCACCAGCCATGCCGTCGTCACCTGCATGCAGCCCCGGGACATCCACCCCTTGCCAGCCAGGAACACAGTCGCTCCCCTGCACCAATCTGCCTGCTTGCCTTGTCACTGCCACCACCGCTGCGAGGAAAGGCCCCGAAGATGTGCTGCCTGGGATCCACGTGGGCTGCCGCAGGGGGAGACCAGGTATGGCTGGACGCTGTCCGGAGTGCAAGTCTGGCAGGAGGAGCCGCCACTGCCTCTTAGCTGGTGCGAATGGCCTGCTGCCGCAGCCTGCTGCCACCCTCTCTGCCCTGCCAGCTGCTTCTGCAACTGCCAAGGAAGCGGCAACACCCCCAGGGGCGAGGGGGTGGCAGCGGCAAGGATGGGTGAGCCGGGGCTGCCCTGTCTTCCCGCATGAGTGGGCTTTTGGCGCGGCTCCAGGCATCCGGGGGAGGGATTAAAGCCTGCCGCTGCCCCGCTGGCTGCTCCTGCACTGACGGAAGCAGCAGCACGAGAACTGGCGGGGGTGAGGGGTGGCGGCCGCAAGAATGGGCAAGCGGGGCTGCCCTATTTCCCCACACAAGCAGACTTCTGGCGTGGCCCCAGACCTCGGAGTGGGGGATTGAAGCCCATCCTTTCTGCTGCCACCCCATTGCCCCCGCTGCCGATGCTTCTCACACTGCCGCTTCCCTCTCAGTGGCAGGAGCAGACGATGGGGCAGCAGCAGGCTTCAATCCCTCCCCCGGAGACCTGAAATTCAATGCATTTTTTTTGCCTCTGCACGCCCCATTTTTGTATTCGGAGAGGAAAGGGTTTTCGGGTGGCAGGGCTGCGATCCTCTCCCCGAATCAAAAAAGTGTGCTGCCTTTCAGGTGGTGGATCTGGCCAGGAGGACAGAGAAGGTGAGTTTGCGGAGAAGGAGGAGGAAGACGCGTGGCTCTGCAATGTGCAATGTGCACCGGAGAACAACGGAGGAAAGCGTTTTCGGGCAGCAGCGCTGCGATCCCCTCCCCAAATCCACCAGAAAACGCTTTCCTCCATGGTTCTCCGGTGCACATTGCAGAGCCGCGTGCCTTCCTCCTCCTTCTCCGCAGACTCACATTCTCTTTCCTCCTGGGCCAGGAGCAGAAGCCGACCGCCCTCCGCCTGCATCATTTGAAGAAGAGGTAGGCAGAGGGGCTAGCCAACTTGCCTTACGCCCCCTGTGCAGCACCCGAAACTGTGGTGCTTTTGGTTTGCCTGCGTACGCCCCATTTTTGGATTTGGAGAGGAAAGGGTTTTCGGGCGGCAGTGCTGCAATCCCCTCCCTGAATCAAAAAGTGCACTGCATTTCAGGCGGCGGATCTGGCCAGGAGGAAAGAGAAGGTGAGTCTGCGGAGAAGGAGGAGAAAGGCATGCGGCTCTGCAATGTGCACTGGAGAACCACAGAGGGAAGTATTTTCGGGCAAATCCAAAAATGAGGTATGTGGCTGGCGCAGCCGCCTGAAAATGCTTTTCTGGTGGCAGCGGGGGCGATGGGGTGGCAGCAGAAAGGATGGGCATGCCAGGGCTACAATCCCCCCCTGAGGCCTGGGGCCATGCCAGAAGCCTGCTTGTGTGGGGCAGCCCCGGCTCGCCCATCCTTGCTGCCGTCACCCCCTCGCCCCCGCCGTTTCTCACACTGCTGCTTCCCTCAGTGGCAGGAGCATCCGGTGGGGCGGCGGCAGGCTTCAGTCCCTGCCCCAGAAGCCTGAGGCTGTGCCAGAAGCCCGCTCATGTGGGGAGACAGGGAAGCTCTGGCTCGCCCATCCTTGCCGCCGCCACCCACTCGCCTCTCGGGGTGGCGATTCTCGTGTTGTCACAGGGGCCTTGGCAGGAAGCCTGGCACCCAGTGGGGAGGAGCCTAGGCAAGGCCGCATGTTTGGAGCTTCCCCGGCCGGCACATGGTACTGCCGAGGTGGTGGGGCCGAAAGCACTGCCGCTAGCTGGGGAACAGCTGTCTCGCCAGGGAACGATCTGGTATTTAATTGTCCTCCGGTAAGAGGTGCACTGGCCCCCTTGAAAAAAGTGGGGGCGCATGCACGGGGGTGCACATGCGCAGTACAAAGTGTATGCATGGGAGGAGGGTCGTGTGCCCATGCGCAAATGGGGCATGCATTGCATTATGGGTGCTGGCACGCGCAAGCGCGCTTGGACTTTTGGCACACAATGCCAAAAAGGTTCATCATCACTGGTGTAGAACACTGAATTGCATTAGCAATTCAGTGTTGCAATTTAGCTTAGAAGATATATTTCTTTCTAAAAGTAAAACAAGCAGGAAAAACTTCTAAATATGTAAGCAACTAAGAGAAAATGCAATAAACTAGTAGTATAGGTAGTCCTCAATTTACAACCAGTTGTTTAACAACTGTTCGAAATTACAACAATTTCTTACCTAAATAAATCATCATACTGACCCCACCCTGAAATCACATGATTGTGATCTGGTCGCTTGGCAATGAGTTCATACTTACAACTGGTTTTCAAACAGCCTGCAGACAGAATTGTCATTTCCACTCTTATCTTCTATCTTCTCCAGAAAGTCAATGGGGAAGGCAGCAGAAAAGATTGCAAACTGCTGCTGCTTGCCAAAGAGACTCACTCTCGTCTCGGGGGGCTGGCTGAGGGTTGCCTGCTGAGGGGAGCAGAACTCCTTTGATGGAATGAAGAATTGGAGCTCAGATGCTAAAGATCCTGAAGATATCAGATATTTCTCCACCCCACAAGACAATGTCAGTTTTTGCCAAGGCACTGAATGAAATGTTTTTGGTCGCCACCAAACATATTTCCTTCAATGCCTGAGCAAAAACTGACTTTGTCTTGTGGGGTGGAGAAATATCTGAAATCTTCAGGATCTGAGCTCTGTTATTTCATTCTGCCAAAGCCTTATCCTTCTGCCAGCTCATAGAGATTAGAGGGAGCTGAAATTGAAGCAGAGAATGGAAAGCAGGCTAAGGTGAGGAGCATGGGATGGCTCAGGTGTTTGGGGAAGGCCACGCATGAGTGTTCATCTATTGGGCTGAAAAATTCTGCTTGGATTTGGACAGGAAGGATTTTCAGCTCCTGAGTAGAGCCTCCCAGGGTCTCCTCAACTCCTCCTGAGGCATCCTGCTCTCTTCAGTCTGGGACTCCATCTACTAATGTGCACACAATCACATTAGCAGACGGATGACCGCAACCAGAGGATTATGGTCATTGAGCAAAGCAGTGGGCTGAGAGAGTCACTGCTTTAAAATCACCTAGCCACTAGTAATCCTTAGCAGCATAGCTAAAGTTAGTATTTTATTTTAAAACTCCTAGTCAATATAACATATAATTTTTAGTTATTTACCCAACTACATCAGGAAAAATTACAAACAAGAAAAACTTATTTTAAAGAAAAAAAGAGGGGTCCTTGGTTCTCTCTGAGCTTGAGTTTAAAATACTTCTTGAGTTTAAAATAAAGTAACTAAAGTACGGTAGTTAGTACATTAATTTGGAGAACCTTTTTAACTCCAGCAAAAATGTTCCTTCAATATACTGGTGGGGTTTAAAGTGGCTAATGATGCAGCTGTGGTCTGGCTTCTGGTTTGTGGTCGTGTCTCATCATCGGTGTGGGTTTGAGTTTGCTTTTTGCATAAAATTCCACTCCAACTCTGCAGCCACCAAACGCATCCTGAAAAGAACAGAATTGGCCCTAATCAGAAATAAACTTCACACAAAAAGATTCCTCCTAGACCGAATCAACAAAGATCTCCTCACACTTCACCTCAAACTCAGCAACAAGATCCACCCCGCACTTTGGGACAAATCCAAACAACTCGCCGTCTGGAGAGCCGAAACACAGACCACCCTCAAGACAGACACACACACCAACAAACTCCGAAGACTACAAGAACGCCAGAAACAAACCCCTCCCCCCTCACAGCCACACATGAAACAAACAGTGCATAACATCTCAGATAGGATCCTCACCAAAGCTGAAACCAATGTCCTTTATAAATGATTCAACTTTGCAGTCGCTCCCAAACACATCCCCACTGAAACCATTATATGCGGAGTTGAAACCAGCCTGACCAAAATCAACCCCGACAATGCTAACAGAATCAGACTCGAAATCACCAACATCCTCTGCACCAGCAAGCCACCCAAAAGCAACTTACCCAAAGAGGAACAGACAGCACTATTTAACCTGAAAGAAGACACCAGCATAATAATCCTACCAGCAGACAAGGGCAACGCCACGGTGGTTATGAACACATCTGACTACCAAACCAAATTAACCAACCTATTCCAAGACTCCACATACAAACCCCTAAACACAGACCCCACCACCTACCTGGAAAAAACCACTAGATCCAAAATGAAAGCCTCCCCCATCAGCGAAGAGATCCAGCAAAGAATCATTCCCAGAGAGAAATCATCCAGATGCCCTAAGCTCTATGGTCTCCCCAAGATACACAAAGAAGAAACCCCCCTTAGACCCATAGTTAGCTCCATAGGCTCACCTCTACAAAACCTAGGCAAATTTCTCGCCAAACAACTACAGCCCTATGCAGAATCCATCACCTCACATGTAAAAAACTCATTCCAGTTCATAGAGATCATAAAGAAACAAAACTTACAGCCCAGCGACCTACTCATGAACTTCGATGTCATATCCCTCTTCACCCAAGTGCCAATCAAAGAAGCCTTGACAGCTATCCAAAACAAATATAACCCCCCCCCAAGCACATTCTAGATCTGACCAACCACTGCCTATCCAACACATACTTCATCTATAACGGACAAAAATACAAACAAACAGAAGGAGCACCCATGGGATCACCCCTCTCACCTGTCATTGCAAACATCTACATGGAACACTTTGAAACCCAAGCTCTAGAAAAATCTGATCACAAACCCAAACTTTGGCTCAGATACGTAGACGACACCTTCATAATTTGGCCACACGGGAAAGAAAAACTGGAAAACTTACTCACACACCTCAACAGCCTACACCCCAAAATAAAGTTCACCATGGAAACAGAAGCTAACAACCAACTTCCTTCCTGGATGTCTTAGTCTACAAGAAATACAATGGCTCCCTAGGACACACCATCTACCAGAAGAAAACACACACAAACCGCTATCTGCACGCACTCTCACACCACCACCCAGCACAGATCAACTCCGTAGCCAAGACACTCATCTCCAGAACAAAACACTTAGCTGACGAACAACACCTAAAAACTGAATTACACACTCTCACTAACGTACTAACATCCAACAGATTCCAAAGAAATAAGATTACCAACCTAATCCAAAAAGAAACCCCTACTAAAAGCAAAGACAGAGAACAAGAAAACGGCAAAGCCCTCCTCCCATACATAAAAGGCACCACAGACAGAATCAGCAAGATCCTCCAGAAACACAACATCAAGACAGCATTCTGCACAAACCGAAAAATATCCACCATCCTAAGAAACCCCAAAGACAAAATTGATTTAGAAAATCAAGGAGTATATGAAATCCCATGCACCGCCTGCCCCACCACATACATCGGACAAACCAACAGAAGAATAAGTGCGCACATTGAAGAACACAAGAACTCAGTCAGAAAAGAGGAACCAACTTCTTCCCTGGTCCAACACCTTAAAGCCACAGGACATGAAATTGACTTTAAAAAGACCAGAACTATCGCCAAAACTGAACACTTTAACAACAGAATAATCAGAGAAGCCATTGAGATAGAAAAACGCCCACACAGCATGAATAAACGAGATGATACCTCCCACCTACCAGCCATTTGGAAACCCGCCCTTATTGACAAACGAGTCCCTAATACAAAGACTGACACCAGACCCACACTCATGAAAACCACACAGGATGTCACCACCACACATCCACGCAAAAAGCAAACTCAAACCCACACCGATGATGAGGCATGACCACAAACCAGAAGCCAGACCACAGCTGCATCATTAGCCACTTTAAACCCTTCCAATCCATACATGAAACAAACTTGACACTCACCATGAAGATGTGGCACGATCACGAATGCAAAGTCAAATAACAGCAACACAGCTCACCAGCTCAAATCCCCCTGCAACTCAGACTAACCCAAGCACAACCAAGCCCCCACCCAAACAGAACACACCCCCATCCAATCAGAGCACAGCCAACCCCCCATCCAATCAGAGCACAGCCAACCCCCCAACCAATCAGAACACAGCCAAGCTCCCACTCAATCAGTTCACACCCCCACTGGCAGTTAAAAGGAAGAAACAGCTGTGATCACACATTGCTCCCAGAAGCACAAAGCCGAAAACACCAGCCTGAAGATGACGAATGAGACTTTGTCGAAACGTCGCCAAGGCACTTCCAATTTTACGCGGGAGAAAACCCGAATAACCAAAGACCTACATACAAACGCCCGCGAAAACCTCAGAAAACATATATACACACACATACACACAGAGAGAGAGCGGTATACGAAAGAACAAAAGGAAGGTTTAGAACTGAAGGGTGATAGTAAAAGATATGTGTTTATGAAACAATGAAAATGAAATGTAATATCTAGGAGTAATAATATGTTTATTTTACTGAAATGCATGATACCCAGATATCACATTATTCACGCATTGATAGGTATAAACAATATAAAATAAAAAACTTGAATTAAAAAAACCCACCATACTGGTTTCTTGGCAAATTTAGATGTTTGTTTCTCCATAGATTCTAATCCTCACAAGCAGCATCCAGTAAAGCAACATGGATGCAGAAAACAATTGAGGCTTAAAGATATTGCATCATTTTGTATTTTTTTCTTGGCACTCATTGATAGTATGGTAATTGTTATCTTAAAAATTAATTTGAATGTTGATTTGAAATTATTCTTGGAAGTTATCCAGTGTATCATAAATTAAGGTCCAGTAAAATAAAGAGCTATGTAAGATTCATAATTGGTTAACATGTTAACTCCAATATGGAGTTTCTTTTAGTGGCTACTGTTTGCTGGGGGTATGGTATACTAAGAATATTACCGTATGATAAAAGTCCAATTAAACAGAGTTTTCACCAATATAAATCCCAGTTGATTACCAAATACTAGACAATATTGCTCAGTTTCATGGTGCAACCTGTTATTTACATACTTCTAACATGAATACAATTCAGATTAACATTCATTCAATCCTTTGCATTTTTAGAAATGCATTTTAAAACTCTACATGCTTTTTTTTAAAAAAAGTGAATTTTGAATCTCTTATTGTAGATTTTGCAAGCATTGGGGAAGTCATACCATCCAGGCTGCTTCCGTTGTGTGATTTGTAGTGAATGTCTTGATGGAGTGCCATTCACAATAGACAGTGAGAACAAAATTTACTGCGTCCGAGATTACCACAAGTAAGAAAAAAATTAAATTTGAAAAGTTGCAACCTATATAATTTGTGTCCAGGTAAGTAATAAAGCAGAGCTGTCAAACTCGCGGCCTGCGGGCCAGATGTGTCATGTGCTGGCCATGCCCATGCCTGGTTTAGCGAAGGGCCCAATACATCATGTGACGCCGCCATGACTACGCAAATTTGACACTCCTGTAATAAAGATTCAGAATATTATTGGTGCTTGATGAAAATGAGTGCATGGAGAAGTTTGTCAAAATACTAGGGATGTTCATTTTCATCATATTATTTCTGTAGAAATAAGTGTCAGTACTTTTTTCATTACTACAAGTTCACTAGAAAAGTGAACAAACCCCCCTAAATATTTCACTTATTTTTAACACGTTTAAATGACATGTTATTACATATAATTATTTTCTTTTGCTACAACTACTTGAAATTCAATATTAGAAGCAGTTTTAATTAAAAATAGTCAACAGAATTATCTTTTATATATATATACATATATATATAATTTTTATTAATATATTCTATACACTAATACACAAATAAAATATAAAATCCTGCCACCATGGTATAATATGATTACATTATCCATAAGTATAAAGTCATTCTTTTATATATACATATTTGCCATCATATATATACATCATCATATATCTATTCTATCCCACCTTTTCTGGACCCAATCGTACCATACTTTCCAACTGTTATAAAATTCTGAATCTTTTTTACCATTGATCAATCTAGTTAAACTATCTGATTTCGCACACTCATTAATTTTATATATTATTTTCAAATCTATGGGTAAGTATTGATTTTTCCACTCCTGCGCATATGCTAATCTTGCTGCAGTGATAATGTGAATCAACAAGAATCATATATCTGATTTAACATTCAAAGGTTTTGCCCCCAATAGGAAAATCTCAGATCTTAATTCCAAATTAATCTGTGTAATTTCCAAAATCCATTGCCATATTTTTTTCCAATATTTAACCGCCTGCGGGCAGGTCCACCATTGGTGAAAATAGGTTCCATTACTGTAACCGCACTTCCAACAGCAGGCAGATGTCCCGGGAAACATTTTAGCTAATCTCGCCGGGGGGAGATGCCACCAGTAGACTATTTTATATATGTTTTCTTTATATGAGGAGGCCATGGTTAATTTCATATTTTTTAACCAAATCTGTTCCCATTACTGGAAGTCAAGGGGATATCCAAAATTTCGCCCCCATGTTATCATACAATCCTTCACTACATCCTGTCATATCTGCAGAGACAATAAATATGCATAACATTTAGATAATATCCCTTTCCCTCCTTCTAATAAGATCTTATCCAATTCTTGTCTTTTACGATAGATTCCTTCACTATGTAAATCTTTTTTATACCTGGAGTGCACTTGAGAATAAGACCACCAGTCTATCTTATATCCTTGGAGAGTTAATAATTCTCGTGACTTCAGATTACCCTGAACATCCAAGAAACCTTCATACGTCAAGGTTTTCTCCCCTTTATACAATGTCGAGTAAATCTGAGCTTCCTGCGCCGAAATCCAACATGGAACTTTTGAATATACTCTTCTTCTAACCTTTTCCCAAGTGTACCCAAGCGTCCTACGTAAATAGTGATCATCAAAGTGTCTAGAGCGGCCGGATGCTCTCGGCCATAGAAAATAGTGCCAGCCATGTTGAAGACCGGCTCCCTCAAATGTCAAAAGTCGTCTCTTTTGTAGGACCATCCATTCTTTCACCCAAATCAAGTTCGCTGCTTGGTGATAGAGCTCCCAATTTGGGAGTCCAAATCCTCCTCTATTTTTGGGTTCTTGTAACATTTTAAGTCTAATCCGCGGCCTCTTTCCCTGCCAGATAAATTTAGATATACTCCTATCCAAATTTGTAAAAAACTCTTTATTTAACCTTACCGGGGCTGTTTGGAATAGAAATAACCATTTGGGTAACACGCACATCTTAATGGTTGCCACCCTTCCCAAAATTGATAGCTGGAGATTTTTCCATCTTTCTAAGTCTCTGAGCATCTGGCTGTAAAGAGGAAGATAGTTATCCTCCTTTATGGAGGAACATCTGGTGGTCAACCATATACCCAGATACTTAATTTTATTTGTTATTCTTAAACCTATTAACTGCTCCAGCTGTTGCCTTTGCATCTGAGTCATATTTTTCACTAGGATTTTAGTTTTTTCTTCATTCATTAGTAACCCCACTACCTTCCCATACTCTCTAATCAAGCATAATAATTTCAGGCCCGAGTCCAGTGGTTGATCCAAGATAAATACAAGATCGTCTGCATAAGCCTGGACTTTAACTTCCTCCTGCCTAATCTTCATTCCTCTTACTTCCGTGTTTCCTCTCACTTCTCTAAGCAGGGGCTCTAAAGTTAATACAAATAGCAATGGGGAAAGGGGACATCCCTGTCTTGTACCTCTACGAATTTGAATTCTCTCCGTCTCCTCTCCATCTATGAGAACTCTTGCAGTCTGCTCCCGGTAAATAGCTCGAATTGCCCGAATAAAATTCCCACCAAACTCCATATATTCCAATTAAGAAATCATAAATTCCCAACTGATTCTGTCAAACGCCTTTTGGGCGTCAACAAAAATTAAAGCTAATTGTTTATCCGGGTGATTTTCGAAAAATTCTAGTGTATTCATGACAATTCTAAGATTATCTCATAGATATCTATTAGGAAGGAAGCCGTTTTGGTCAATGAATGAATTTGTTAAGGAAGCAGATAAGCCTGGCTGCAAGAACCCCCGCAAATATCTTATAATCGGAATTTAGTAATGATATTGGTCTATAGTTCTTAGTAAGAGATAGATCAGTTCCTTCTTTTGGGATAATAGAAATATAAGCCTCAGTCCAAGATACTGGAACCTGAGCCTCTTTCATAACTGCATTGAATAAATCTGTCATGTGTCTTCCTACCACGTCAAACACTATTTTATATAATTCAACTGGAAGGCCATCTCTACCCGGGGTTTTGCCATTCGCCTGTGCTTTCATAACTGTTTCTACTTCCTCCATCGTAAATTCCGCATTAAGAATTTCCTTCATTGTTTCCGAGACTTTAGGCAAGTCTGTCTTTTCCAAATATTTCCGAATTTCACAGATATTTTCCTCTCCTTTCTGATAAAGCTGTGTGAAAAAATCCTGAGCTACTATTCTCTTGCCTTCCTTAGTACAATGAAGATTCCCAATTACATCTTTCAGCCCTTCTATTCTCCGTTGTTCCTGCTCCTTTCTAAGCCGGTAAGCCAACCATTTTCCTGTTTTATTCGCCCTTTCAAAAAAATTTTGTTTAGTCCACTTTATTTTATTTGCTAATTCCTCTTGATCTAATAATTTAATCTGGTGTTGCCAGTACTCCCTTTCCTCTATCAATGTTGTCTGGGTTAATCCATTTTGCATCCTTTCTTCCACCCGTTGTAATTTATTCAAGAGGTTGTCTCGGTGTTTCTTACCCGCCCTACATTTATCAATCATATATTTGATTAACCATCCCCTCATCACTGCCTTAACCATATCCCATGTATTGTATATTGAAGTATCCTCTTTCTTATTTTCTTGGAAAAAAAGATATAACTCCTTCTTAAATTTACTCATGAATTCTTCATCTTTCAGAATACCTATATTCATTCTCCATCTACCCTTCCTACAATGTGGGATCTTCCAAGTTACCATTAGCGGGTTATGATCCGCCCACTGGTTGGCCCCTATTTCCACTTCCGAGACCAGCCCCCTCAACTCAAGAGACATCCATATCATATCTATTTGGGTCCACGAGTGGTGTCTGGGAGAGAAATAAGTATATTGATTTTTATTGGGATTTCTCAACCTCCATATATCCTGTAATCCAAATTCCTCCCTTAAATCATTACATATTTTTGGTAATGTTCTCTTAATATCCTTTAACCTTCCTTGTATGTTTCCCGGGACATAATCCTGCATTCTATCCGTTACAGCATTGAAATCCCCCACTAGACAGACATGTTCATATTCCAGTTCCCCCAATTTAACATATAAGTTTTGATAAAAAGTCCTCTGATTGTCATTAGGGGCATAAATACAAACCAATAAAGACTTCCACTGGGCAATTTCTATTTCAAGCATGAGAACCCGGCCTTCCTGGTCAGCAAAAACCTGTTGGGATTTCAAATGATGTCGTACATATACCACTATCCCTCTTTTTTTTTGACCTGCTAATAAGGTATAAGTTTTACCCAACGCCCGGCATTCTAACAAATGGTTTTGATCTTTTTTTATATGGGTCTCCTGCATGCAGACAATATCATACTTAGCCTTTCTTAATTTATTCAAAATCCTACTACGCTTATTAGGAGCATTTAAACCGTTAATATTTACAGATATCAAACGCACTAATTCCCCCATTTCCTTTTCTCACCTAAGTTTTTACTTTCCCGCTGTTATAGCCTTCTTAACTGTTTGTCTTGTCTCCCTCTGAGGTGCTGTTAATTCCTCGATTTTTCGTGTTCCCCCACTCTTCTTTCCCGCCTTTCCTTCTCTCCTCTCCTCTACTTCTTCTTCCTCTTGCGATTCCTCCAAACTTTTACTTTCCCCTTCTCCTTCAACATCTAATTCTGACAAATTAAATTGTTGTTCCATGAATTCTCTTGCTTCTTGAAGACTCCGAATCCTCACTTTCTTATCCTTCCATGTCATCAATAAACCTTCAGGTAATAACCAACAATACAAAATTGCATTTTTCGTCAGGAAAGTCGTCAAAAATTGGTTTCTGCGTCTCTGTTCTCTTACCTGACATGGGATTTGTTTCAAAACTATCATCGGTTGGCCTATGTAATAGTTTGATCCCTTGTTCGTTTATAAAATTCTTCACACAAAGCTTTCTTGTTAAAACGAACATGAATTTCCTGAGGAAGATTGTTCCTTTTTGCGTAGCTAGTGAATACTCTAAAGGCCTCATCAATATCTCGTTGGATCATGAGTCTATCTGCCTCCAAAGTTTCTGCAACTATTTCTCCTATAATGTCATCCAGTTTTTCCCCTTTCTCTTCCGCCACATTCTGTATTCTAAGAAAAAAAGATCGCTCCATTTCCAGAAAAATTATTTCTTCTTCTAAGTCTCTATTTATCGTTATTTGTCTCTTCTCCCAACTGTCCATCTGTCCTTCGCATTTCTCCGTCTTCTTCTCTATCTCCTTCATTTTTTCCTCTTGTTGTATTAATGTCTGTCGTATATCTCTCAGTTCACTTTGCATCTGTTTAATTTTTTCTTTAACCCCTCTCATTTCCGCTTTCACATTTGCTCCCAAGTCCTCAAAGTTCTTAGATGTCGACTCCTGGTTTTTAGCCATTGATTCCTGGATGGCTTGTAACATATTTTGTAGAGCCTGCATAGAGGGCGTCTTCCCCGTCGCCGACATATCTTCCGATGTTCTTCTAGAAACTAAATACGTCGAACTTGGGGTTACAGCGGTAGGCAGAGAGATAACTTTCTTATTTGTTGTGGTAATAGTTGAAGATGTAGACATAACTGAAAACAACCACTGTTCCTCTACTCTTTGTTGAATAAATATATCAATCAAATCTTTTAAATCAAATAAGTTAATCCATTAGCTCTTGATATAATCAAATTAGTCAATTTTCAATGTTTACTATGAGGCAGTGTATATATATCTTTCCCCCCCCTCCTTTCCTTTCCTTTCTTTTCCTTTCCTTTAGTTGTAATATCCAAATCCACCACTAGGTGGCAGTACAAGACCAACCAAGGGCAGTCTCCGTCTTCGGCAATGGGGAAAAAAGAAAAAAGTATCAAGTCACGATGTAGCAAAAAGCTCACCTCTTCTGATAATGTGACAAAGAGAGAAGTAAAAGAGAAAATCTCACTATGTCTTCAACAAGATCAGTCAATTATTCCTCATCCAACAGACAATATATTCAAATAAAAAAAGGGAGAAGATGAAGTTTTGATAATATCAAAGTTCAAAGGGAGATCAATAACCGCTTCTGAGGGGGAAATAACAGCTAGCAGCAAGAAGTTTACAAGACAGCCGTTTCTCCGTTTCAGCCGCTCCCCCAGTAAATGGCAAATCTTATATGTTTCTTAGGCAGGAGGTTCAGTCAGCTCGGAGCTAACTTAGTAAAGTAGAATTCTTACACCACACTGGCGGGCTTCCCTCTCCAATTGGTATAGTCAGAATTATCAAGCATTTTTATTATTTATTACGTATCTTTGACTCATATTGGATTTTTGCCCTGAAATTCTTGTATTTTAAAACATGGCACAAGAAAGACATTAGAACATGAGGAAATGTCAGAAATAAAAGAGTGAAAAATACAAATATAACTATTTATTGCAATTTCATACATGGAGAAATTGTATTGAAGTAAAGCAACCAGCATGAATACAAATGATGCTTTATCTTCATATAAGTAAGGGAGGGCCATGGATTGAACAGTAATATATAACTAGTTTCTAATTTATAGCTGTGATTTAGCAAATATTCTGATAAATTCAAAGAACATGGAACTTGGTTGGTGAGCCTGGAAGACTTTTTTTTTTTTTTTTTTTGCTATAGCTATGAATCATTTTACCTCTGGTGATCAGGTTGCTGGCATTTTGTAAGACCCTAAAAGTTAGATTCTGTTCCAGGGTTTGGAACACTTGAGGGTGTGCAGGGGCCTGCTTCTAGTTATGTTAGTGCTTTGAGTTGATGTTGCTTGATCACTGTATATTTATAATGTTTATAATAGTTTTATTTTAACTCTGTTAGCTGCGCAGAGTCATTTGTTCAGCTGGGCAGCTATATAAATTGGATAAATAAGTCTAAAGCTTCGATGCCTTGAAAGAAAACTTGAGAATTAGTATAAAATTTTAAATACCATCAAAATACATTAAAAAAACCAACTGAAGCAATTTAAAAACTGATTGAACCTTAGATTATCTTTCATCTTTTAAAAATTGTTTTTATTTTTGTGAAGAGTTTTGGCACCAAAATGTGCAGCTTGTGGCCTTCCTATTTTGCCAACTGAAGTAAGTAATGATATTTCTTTGTATTATACTTTGTTGCAGTGTTTTTAAATAAATCCATCTTTTTTATAATGCTATTTCCTATGATGATTTTCCCCCAACCCCACCCCCCAAGTTGGGAAAGTGCCTCTTACTGTATTCTAAACTTTTGATAAATGCAAATATGAAAGGCCATTATGAATTGATGGACTTAAAAAATTGACCAGAACTAAGAATTGGCAAATCACCTTCAGCTTGTATTCATTATGGTTGTTTATAATATGGTTGTCAAAAATCTGATAATGTTCAACTTCATACGTTCTCATAAGAGGCTGTATCCAGCTGCTTTTATCTTTTTAAGAAGCTGGAAAAAAGATTTTATGTGATTTACAGGATGATAAATATAGGAAGATTGTTTTCATCTTTCTTTTTGAAGTTTTGAATTTGAGATTTTTTAAAATTTTCCCTTATGAGATCCTACACATATTTTATCTTCTAGGAAATGGCAAGAGCTTCTTTCCTGTTTAGTTCCTTTTTCTTTGATTTGATTTCCGACAGAATGGGACTTTTCACCTCCGTCTCTTCGCCTTGCCTGTTTCACCTTAAGGTTTTTGCCTCTGCGTTATTAGCCACAAACTTTTCTCCTCGGCTGACACGCCCCCAGTCTTTTACCCCGGCACATCGGCCACAGCCCCTCAGTCCCACTCCCTTAGGCGGGGCCCATTTGTCGAAGTACAATTCGCGTCGGGCTTTTGGCCTTGCACCCAGTCAATCGCACCTAGCCAATCGGTGCAGGGACTCGGGGGCTTTGGGAGTGGAAGAGCGGGGGCTGCAGTTCAGAGGGAGGCTCAGGAGGGCCAACAACACCCTCCCCCTTTGTCCAAAGTGCCTGAGACAAGGGCTGGTTTACATCGCCACAAGCTGCTTGCCTGTCAGTTCAGAGCCTCCCAAGGCTGCTGAGAGCAGCGCGGGGGTGGGGTGGGGGAGTGGGGCTGTAAAGGATGAGGGATCCATCTGGCAGGTATCTCAAACTACCAGAACAATCTACACACTTTTTATACTGTTAATAGGGGACCAAGTGGCTAATTAGGAAGACAAAAGTAGGAAAAGATAACGAAAAATAAACACTGCAGGAAGATGTAAATCTGAAATTAGATTATATTATTGACTTTTACAATGTAGCTAGATAATATGACTAATTAGAATACTACAAAGACCTTTTGGGGTATAAGAGAAAACACGGCTTTGTCTCATGTTTTGTAGAATTTTCCTTCCATGTCTCTTGTACATGTATTTGGAACTTCTTACTCAGAAGTTTAACTTTGATCAAAGAATAATGTCTGTTTTCTTTGGTTTTCAAGCCTCCGTTTAAGTCTTTGTTTTGGTTCATTTTTGGCTTAAGCGTATTGCCAAACCTTACACTAGTATGATTCAATTGCTTATTTCTACCCTATGACTACCATTGTGTTGTACCTTGTGATTCTTGATGAAAGTAACTTTTCTTTTTATGTACACTGAGAGTATATGCACCAAAGACAAATTCCTTGTGTGTCCAATAACATTTGACCAATAAAGAATTCATTCGTTCACTCAATGGTATGTCCTTATAGGATAGGGCACAATTTTTTTCCTTAGGAAATTAGGAGGGAATCTGGCTATTTAAGTTCTCCTGTTTGTTTATTCAGGAAAGAGGTTGTTAAGGGCAAAGGGCGGGCAAATCAAAGCCAGATCAATGTATTTGCCCCAAGCCAAAAAAAAAAAAAAAAAAGGTGATAAAAAGAATTTTCCTCTCAGACTTCAAACATACTCCTTTCGATGAAGCCTGAGTATTTCCCCCCACCCAGCTCTGCTCTTCCACCAAGCACAGCACCTCCGTATATGCCCCCCTCTTTATGCTTAACAACCTCTTTCCTGAATAAACAAACAGGAGAACTTAAAGAGCCAGCTTTCCTCCTAATTTCCTAAGGAAAAAAATTGATTCTAATGAGTACCTCTGTGTATTTGATAAGCTATATAAGAGTAGTGGTGATGGGGAAGTTAGGGTCCTTCTGATCCTTTGCCAAAGATCCCTTCTCTGCGAGGGTGTGGAGCGCCCAGTCTTTCCTTGTTCTTCAGTGGGAAGCCTGGCTGGCATGCTGGAGGGAGGCCCAGAAGTCCACCAAGCATGCCAGCCGGGCTCCCCGTTGAATTCCAGGGAAAGACCGTCCACTCTGACTGGGGGCTCTAGCCCTCCCAGGGATGTTTGGGGAAAGGAACATGAGCAGAGAAAGAGAAAAGGACAAGCAATTGGAATTAGTGTTGCTCCTCAGTCCTCTTCATTTCCATCCTTGCAAGCAGCCTGGCTTTGAGCCTGTCCCCCCAAATCCTCAAAATCCCCCCTCCCCCCATCCTTTGTGGCAAAGAGATGCAAACCAGCCCTTGTCTCAGGCACTTTGGACAAAGGGGAGGTGTCTGTCTGTCTGTCTGTCTTTCTTTTTCTTTCTTTCTTTTTCTTTCTTTTTCTTTCTCTCCCCACCTCCGCTCTTCTCTTCCCATTCGGGGTGATGGATCCTTCATCCTTTACAGCTCCCCTTCCCCCGTCCTTTGTGGCAAAGAGATGCAAACCAGCCCTTGTCTCAGGCACTTTGGACAAAGGGGAGTGTGTGTCTGTCTTTCTCTTTCTTTCTTTCTCTTTCTTTCTTTCTTTCTTTCTTTCTTTCTTTCTTTCTTTCTTTCTTTCTTTCTTTCTTTCTTTCTTTCTTTCTCTCTCTTTCTTTCTCTTTCTTTTTTTTTTTTTTTCTTTCTCTCCCCCCCACTCTTCTCTTCCCATTTGGAGTGATGGATCCCTCATCCTTCACAGCCCCCCTCCCCCACCCCCCGCGCTGCTCTCGGGAGGCTCCGAACTGACAGGCAAACAGTTTATGGCGATGCAAACCAGCCCTTGTCTCAGGCACTTTGGACAAAGGGGGGGATGTTGTTGGCCCTCCTGAGCCTCCCTCTGAATTGCAGCCCCCGCTCTTCCACTCCCAAAGCCCCCGAGTCCCTGCACCAATTGGCTGGGTGCGAATTGTCGTGGGAGGCCAAAAGCCCTACGTGAACTGTACTTTGACGAATGGGCTCCAGCTAAGGGACTGGGACGGAGGGGCCGTGGCCGATGTGCCGGGGTGAAAGACTGGGGGCGTGTCAGCCAAGGAGAAAAGTTTGTGGCTAATAACACAAAGGCGAAAAGCTTAAGGTGAAACAGGCAGGGTGAAGAGACCAAGGCGAAAAATCCTAGACTCGATTTCCGAGTATCATGCTTGAGGTGCTAAACTGTTTGATAGTATTAAAATGTATTGTACTGGTTGTGGTACAGTAAAAGATCTTCTGTATTTGCATAAAGCTTCACATGAAGATTAATATACCACAAGTTTCAATTGCAGTTATATTTTTTAAGGCAAAATGAGTATACCTTGTGTGATTTTGTAAAATAGGATAAATGAGAGTTAGTGCCCTTTAGTTTTCTGAATAAGACTCATAAAAGGCTTTTAATAGTATACAGCAGGGGTGTCTAACTCGATTTCATTGAGGGCCGCATCAGGGTTGTGTTTGACCTCAGGGGGCCTGGGTGGGCATGGCCAGCATGACATCACTTGTATCAGGGGCGCCTGTGGTGGCCCAAGCTCTCTGCCAGCGAAAATGGGCTCCTGAGCTGCGATAGCCTCCTACAACCCTCTGCCAGTGAAAGCGGAGCTCAGTTTTCACTGGCAGAGGCACCAAGGGCCAGTCCTTCACTGTTTCCAGGGCAGCCCTGTGGACCAGATCTAAGCACCCCATGGGCTGGATCCAGCCTCCGGGCCTTGAGTTTGACACCCCTGTATACAATTTCTTTTCATTAACATGTGTTAATTCCTAAAACCTCACTCAGTAGCTAATTAATATTTATCATCTGATATAAATGAAAGGGAACTTAGGTAGGTAACCCAGAATGCTTAAATGCTGTTCATATTAAATGTTATCTCTTGTTTAAACAATGTAATGAAGAATTAGCCATTTATTTCCTTAGGGGCCACTGATATAACATTGAAATTTAATTATATTTTAAAAACATATTTGATGTATATAGCAATAAGTATACTGGTGCATATTTTGCTTTTGCCAAAAGAATGTTTCATAAGAATTAGAATAATGTGATATAAGCCTCTTTCAGTATGTCTCTTTTAAACGAATAAACTTTTACAGGGATCTGATGAGACTATCCGTGTGGTATCAATGGACAAGGATTACCACATAGAATGTTATCGCTGTGAGGTAGGTTCAATGTTCTTGAACAAATACTAAATTAAACAAAGCTAATGATTTGTAAGAATTGTACATATCCATAGTTGAAAACTCTTATACTGCAAGTGCTGGAAGTCCAGCATGGGAAAGTAGATTTTGAATAGAGCACTCAAGAGTTTCATTTTTGCTCATCAGCAAACTTTGTTTAATCCATATAATGGTTTTGGTGCATTGGAAATAGGGCTTCCTTGTTTCTTCTTCTACTGTATTAGACTCTGGAGTGTGATTTTAACCAAAAGGCTAATTTTATGTTTAAATTAAATTATAAATCCTTGAGGGAGATGGACAGCCTAGAAATGCAAAGATAGAGATTAGATTAGATTAGATTAGATTAGATTAGATAGATGATAGATAGATAGATAGATGATAGATAGATAGATAGATAGATAGATAGATAGATAGGTAGATAGATAGATAGATAAAGGTATGCCATCCATGGTAAGTCAATCCATTGTTCGTTGTGGGGTGTTTTTGGTGAAAACCAGAAGTAAATACAAGTTTTCAGCAAAAAAATGTCAAATGGTGGTCATTGCAATTAGCAATAAATGAAGGCTGATTACCAAGTGTCCAAAATGAGGGCTTGTGACCATGAGGTGGTGGCTGTTAAACATTTGGTAATTGGTCATAAATACTTTTTGGGGATCTGTTGTAATTTTGAATGGTCACCAAGTAACCACTTGTAAGTCGAGGACTACCCTGTAAGTGCTATCTTCTGGTTGAAAGTTTATGGCTAGAAAGTCAGATTTCAGTCATCTTAGTTCTGCTGATGAAATGCTTCATTACTAATTGTTTATTTTCCTCTCCTCTCCCCTCAAATTTTAAAGCCTGACTGTAATAGTATACATCTTTGTGATATTTGTACACTCAGACCATTCCAGGTACATTGAATTAGCTATCACAAAAGGTTATATGTTTTAATGAAATTAAAATTTGAATTTAGCCAATTCTCCAGAATAGAAGTGCCTGCTGCTCAGATTCTCCTATATAATGAACCAACTAGCTTGATAAGAAGAGTGTTCCTCATCAATAGGGACTGCATGCTTTATATTAGGAAAGGACTTTCGTTAAGTATCAAGTAATTGTTCTACTGCAGGCAAATGCTTTTAGAGAAGTAGCATATTTTAATGATTTGCTTTTAACATGAATGGATTGACAGTTATTTTCATAGAGCAACATGGAGCAATATGAATGTATTAATCACCATTCTGTTTTCTTCTCTTTTACATAGGACTGTGGAATGGAACTCAATGATGAAGATGGTCATCGTTGCTACCCATTAGATGAACATTTGCTTTGCCATTCTTGCCATCTTAAGCATATAGAAAAAGACACTAACCCTGTCGCTTCCTATTGGCATCACTATTAGTCAGCTAATAGTGCTAAAGTTTCCAGAATCCTGTCAAAGGAATCAGTAATTTTGGGGAGCAGTTGTATCCATATGGGAGTGAAGATCTTTTATATGCATAGGAGACTGACAGCATACATATGGTATTAGGGTACTTAGTAGTTTTTTTGCCCTTAGGCTAAAAAAGTGGGGAAGGGATATTTAGGTCATGTAGGTCTTCATATCTGTACAGTATATATGTCAGTTATAGTTCCTACTGTAATTTGTGGAAATAAATGTTTCACCAGTTGGCCCAGAGTTCTAAGAATACATTAATGGGTTCCCTTAGTGATTTTAGTGTCACAAAGTTACGGGGGTTTTTTTGTGCAGCCTTCACCTTTATAATTTGATCCTGATTTCTAAAATTGTAAATATTTTGAAAAGAGTTGATCTGGTATTTTCCACATTTAATTTAAACTCCAGCCTTTCTACATAACGTCAAAAATGAGACATTATGTACAGATGTGTGAAATACCAGGTGATCAAAATAACCCAAGAGCACATATGGAGACAATTGATAGAGGTAGCTACTTTTATAACTTTTGAGCACTTGAAACAATTTGAGATATGAACTTTTGAGAATTCTTTTTAGAGAAACACGGAAAGAGCTAGAATTACTTGTACTGAAGAAAGAAAAACTGGTATGTATTCCTTGAACTCTGGGGCCTTAAATCACAGATACTGTATTATGTTTAATATGTCTAATATTACATCTTGCATACTTGTTCCTAATTCTTAGGAGAAACCTAAGCAGATAGATGATGTTAATTTAATTTTTTTGTCCCAGATGTTTATCATTTGATTATCCATATACTACTCAACTTTATTGTGTGCCAATAAACTAACCTCACATCATTTCTGGTTTGTATGTCCAACTTTAGAAATGGTCTTAATCTTCATACATAAAGTTGAAACCATTGCAGTATCACAAATTCTAGCATGTTGAGGTGTGCAAACCATAAGTTACTGCCATAAACAAGATGATGGTGACATAAAAAGTTTCATATGCGCTTCATGGAGCAGAGAATCCAAGCAACATTTTAACAATACTGAATTATAGTTATGAAGTTTGTACTTTTATATATACAAATTAAACATCTCGGGTATACTTTAGGATCGTTGTCTTGACAAGATAGATGGTTGATTGGTAAGGAGGCATATTAGTTGGTGACAGTAGTTTCCAATTTGTACAAGCATAAATCACCTACTTGCAATCTGAATTCTTTACAGAAGGCTTCTGCAAACAACTTTATTTGGTTGCTTTCATTTCAAATTTATTTATAATTCAGCATACACCTTTTTTAAAAAAAATCCTACATGCACTTTTCTTCATAACCAAACAGTCATTCAATATAAACAATTGCAAGGTTTTGGGACTGGTTCATTTATATAGTGGAAAGAAGTAAAAGCAACAATCATCAAAATATCTTTTAACCCCAAAATTCTACATGTGCAAGCAGACAGAAGAAGCCTATTCATTGAGAAGTGTTTTACAAAATATTGTTCTCGCTCCTGTTAATGCATCGTCTTAATTCCATTCCAAGCTTGCATCAGTGTCTACAGTGCTTCAAAATTAGAATTAAAGTAGACTTCAACAGAATTACCTGAGATAAGGCAGCCAGATTTACCAGTGATATTTCACTCATAATCATCGTAATCTTGGTCCAAAGATGATGTTGCACACTTTGCTACTTTTTTCACAATCCCTCCGCTCTAAGTCAATCACAATTATCCTTGCTTCTGTATTGATTAGGGTGGAAACATTATTTTAAAACATGAGCCAATTGCAGCATTAGAAATTGCTGGAATACTTAAAACATTGAATGATTTTTTTTTTTTGAGGTGGGGATAAACCTCCAAACACATGACTATATATGGAAATGCAAGATAATATTGCATTTGAACCTTTTGCATAACTGCTTAGAAGCATATAAAGTACCATTAGATTAAAATTGCAGATTTCTCATTTTCTAGGCCTGGACCAATTTTATTTTAGCTTTCAGGTAAACATGAGTTTTCATGTACATAAAATATTAACACTGTACAATCTTCCATAGCTTGTGATCTGATAAACAAGTCAGAATAGTCCATGTATTTTGACTTAAATGTTTACATCAATTATTTAAATTTATTTTATATTTTTTCTTTCTAAGGGACTGAATTTATTTTATATCAGCCTTCATTTAAAGGAGTCTATAGTAAAAAAAAAAAAGCTCATTTGCTGGTATGAATTGATATGTAATCAGATAGTGATATAAAATAGTGGTACTAGCATAATGCATGGCCATAGAACAACCTGCAAGACATAGAAAATAATACAGTATGAATGATTTTACAATGTTGACATTTGATGAAAGAAGGAATTTCATAATGTAAAGGATTGCCTATGTTACTTTTCATCATACATACTTGGATACCAGTGTACACATTGTCTATTTAAGATTCAGACACAAGGCTTCCGGTTGGCACCACCGGCGTCGCGGACGGTTTTTTCGGACCGCCAGCCCCGCGATTCCGTTGGAGCTGTTCTGACAGCACTAATCAGCTGTCAGATGGCTTGAAAATCTCTCCTTCGGGAGAAGAAGGAGAGGAGAGCCAGTGGGCGAGGGTAGAGCTCCCCGGAAGCCCCTGGAACAATTCCAGGGGCTTGGAGGGTGAGAGCTCCCCGGTCAGCCCACTGAAGCTCCGGATCCGAGGCGACTCCATTTTAAACGGAGCCAGACGTCGCAACCAACTCTGCTTTCAAAAAGGAGATTAATTGAATTCAAAAGCAGACAGAACGGAAGCAGGAGAACAAGCTTTTGCAAGTATTATGCTTAACTCCTGGGATACATTGTTTCTACTTGATTTTTCTGAGCTGGAGGTGGAAATGGCGTCCTCGTTGTGGGTGTAAAAGTGAAAGTTAGAAATGAAAGTGCTTGTTAACAGATTTGTGCTCAGAGACTGGATTTAAGTTGCTGGGATTTGAGAGCTGGGTGTAGAAAAGACTATCTTGCTTGATAAATCACAAATAAATTTGAGAAAGATGTTCAAGAGACTTTATGGCTGTGAAAAGAAAAATTCTTTTAAAATAATATGGCTTCCAAGCAAGGAGTTCTTGGAAGTGGTGGAGGCTCTCTAATGGTGTCAGAAATGACACAGAGAATTGATTCACAGAGCCAGGAGGATTTTTTTAGAGAACTTACAGAATTTATAAAGGAAGCCATAAATAATCAAATTGTAATTATTAATAACCAAACAGCAATCATGGAACGAAAACTTACAGAACGGTGGAGGATATAAAAGCAATTGAGGATAGTTTTGAAGGAAAGCACAATGACAATGCAGGAGACATTTTGACCAAAACAGAGAAGCTGGAACTGGCTGGCTCTCAAGAATCTTCAAACTTTCTTCCTGCTCTTTTGGAATTAACTGACAGAACTTTTCAAAAATATAATTTGGAGAAGAAAGAAGTAGAAACTGACCAGCCTTATGAGGTTTTGGAGGACAAAGAAGATTTGGCAGAGGCTTTCACACAATTAATTGAAAAGCAACAACTGGACTTTTCTTTGCAAACTGATAAATCTTATCGAGTCAATTCTTTGTTCTATGAACTGACTGATTATATAAGCAAGAGGAGTCGATATGGGGGCTCTAAATCAGAGGAAATGGTTCCAAGAAAGGGACAAGTTTTAAAGATATATCAACCTCAAGTTAAAATTCAAAACCTCCTCAAAATAAAAGTAGGAGAAAGGAAGAAAGACTGGAAAAAATACAGAAAGAAAGGAAGAATGGAAGATTTAACTTTTTCTGATCTAACTATTGATGTATTAATGATTAATTACAATGATTAAGTAAATGAATTAAGAAAATATAGAAATTTAATTAATGATTAATGAAGGTTTACTTATTGTTTATTAAGATTTTTAAAATATTTGAATTTTGAGAATAAAAGTAGGAGGAAGAGTAAAATGATTAAGTAAATGAACTAAGAATATTTTACAGATGTATTACGAGATTTTTAGGATTTGAATGATCTATTAGTGTTTGTTAATGTTTTTAAAACTCTTAGGGCTAAAGGATTATATGTTATTTTGAGTTTATAAAAAAGGGAGGCTGATGAATAATCTGTAGAAGGGGAGTTAAGGGGTCTAGGGAGTTTTAAATCTTGCATTAAGTTAGCATATTTTAGCGTATGTTTGGTAAAATTTATACCCTGTTTTTATTCTGGGAAGTTGGGAGTGGGAGGTGGGAAGGGGGGGGTTGAAGGCTGGGTTTATATTGATATATTGAATGATTGCCTATATTGTATATTTGTTTGATCATAAAATAAAAACTTTTTTTTTCAAAAAAAAAAGATTCAGACACAAAAGATACTATTTTTAAAAAATTGAAGTTTTATTATTGTTTAAGTATATTGTTTGCAACCTCTTTTATAAAGCACTGGAATACAGACATTCTCCCAACCCCCAAATTTAAAGAATTTGAGTTTCCATCTAGCAACTAGAACTATCCAGATCTTTTTCTCTGCTGCAGTTATTTATAAGAAATGCACAGAAGGATCAAGGAAGAATCTTTTAAAAGAAAAAAAATGACACTGAGACCATCCATTTAATGCACAGCTTTCTTGGCTTTTCCACATATTTGAGCAGACTCAAGACTACATCACTTTTTTTCAACAATTATTTAAAAAGAAAACAGGAATGGCATGTGTTTATTATAAATAACCGAAAGGATAATCAAAAAAAACCCCACCCCATAACCATTCAAAGATAGCAGTTTTTGTTTCCAAAGTCCATATAGTAAGAGGTTCAATTTTCAAACTATGAAAACATTGCAGCAATCCACTTAGTTTTAACTTAGGAGAGGCAACCTTTACCTGCTGAATCTAGTATTTAAATAACATAATTTCAATCTTGAAGATATAGTTGAATTTACTAAAAATAATGCACTGCACTTGAAGCTGTCTGGTTTTGAACACAAATAAATTAGAAAATGGATGACAAAATCGTTTTAAATTGGTCCTTGATTTAGATATAGTTTCAATAGAAAGCTTGAAAGCACTAGAGTTGAGACATATATTTATTAATAATTAGCATAAGACTTATAGCTTATTCATTTTGAGAGTTACAGTTGTAGAGAAATAGTTATGGCATGCACAAAAAGTAGATGCTGATCCCAAGTGCAAACATGGAATATTTTCCAAGAATTTTTTTTTCAAATATTCATTCAATTTTCCACAGATCATTCTTACTAAATCCAAGGCAGCAGATATAGTAACTGGATTGCCAATTTCAAAAACCCACCTGACATTTGAGATTCTTCAGAAAGAAATGAATACTTTGGACCTTTAGCATGAGAGTGTTTAAACAGCCATTTTTACATTCTTTGATTTCATGTACATCTTTTTTTTAAAAAAACAAAACAATTTGAATCATATGGAAATTTGTTATCTAAAGTTAAGGACAGTAATTAAAGCAGCACAAGACATATCCCAGGAAAATCAGTTGTACATCTCATCCTTTCAACAATGTTTTAACAGAATATTGCATTATTCTTATCCATTGCTAGCTGAAGGAACTTTTTTTTAATCAGAGAAAAAAAGTATTGTATTTATAGAAATCTAAGAAAACAGATGCTCTTGGACTTGATAAAAAAAATCCTTGTATTTGCACTATTACAAATTGACTATATGGATACCCAATCCAAAACCACTAAAGCAGCAATTATTTATTATGGTTAATAAGCAAAGCTTTTCCATGAATCAGAGAAGGTAAATGATACATACTTTAATCTAGCAACAGAGATCTCCTGATACACCAGAAGATCATAATCCTCCTTAGCAATGGAGCTATCTTAAGATTTATAATATACTG